TGCTCCTGCAGTAAAATGGATATGTCCTAATAACTGTTCAATAAAATGAAATGTTGTTTTTCTAACACCAATTTACAACAACAATCGTCTCAAGACTTGTAATTGGACGGTAAAGACTCGACTTGGTGACAGTGGAAAGGACGAACGCTCCAAACACAAAGACATCTGCAGCAGAGGGTCAGCAGTCTGCCACGACCGGGCAGCAGCTGAAGTGAAGGACAAACCAAACACTGAAGGGCTGATGGTTCAACACAGATTCTTTGCTTTCACACAAGGCTCTGTGGCGCCACTGTTACCATGGAAACGCCAACGCGAGCGACTAGAAACAGACCGTCCAAGAAGACAAAGCAATAACTTTTATCTGCTTTGAATCTACTTGAGATTCTTTCTATATTTTTGCATTTATAAAAAAATAAAATGTTTGATGAAACAAACGTTGCAATTTCTAAAATAGAAGCCAATGAGCAGTTTGTTTTTAAACACCAGCCTTCACTTTCTTTGAGTATTTATTATTGCTCATTAATAAGGAAAATTTAAATAACTCATTAAAACAGTCGATAGCTGCAGCTCTACTTAGCATAATCCAAAAGCTTAGCCTAACTGTATGAGGAGAGCATTCTAGATTACAGTGAACCTATTGGGTAAACACTGACTACTAAAATGTTAATGTTCAGGTGATATCCTGTATAATATGTTGTTTAAGAGCCAGGCCTGTAGCTTAGGATGGAGAGCAGGTCACCTATGAACTGGAAGGCTGGTGGCTGGTGGTTCAACCCCTATCTGCTCCATTTCCTCGGGCGAGTTTCTAACCCCCAGGTGCTCTCGGATGCATCCATCAGAGTAGGAATGTGTGAGCGTTAGATGGAAAGATAGAGAGCACAGAAAACATGGTTGTGTAAAGCGCTTTGAGTGCTCAGAGTAAGAAAGCACCATATAAGGACCAGTCCATGTACCATTTACAAAGCAGTGAGCTAAAGTGCATTAGCTGTATTGCTGGGTCTTGTCACTCAGCAGCACTTCCTGTTATCAGGTCACTCACTGATCCAATCTAAATGTTAGAAAAAACATTTTGTTAAACTCTTTGCACTGCAGAGCTACGTCACTTACGTCCAACAAACAATCAGCCTGCGTCAAAAACATGTTTCCACAAAGGCAGGAAGACATGACGCCAGAAAGCACAGTAAAAATGTCAGATTTAAGCAGCTGATTAAAGTAACTGAGCCTCTCTACCAACATTTCTCTCAGTGCTGCGTTCAGTCGCATTGGACTGGTAGCTACACAAGTTGCACATTTCTGGGACGCCAAACAAAAGCGTGAGCAAAGATACCATCTATCCACTGCACTGCACGACAACACACAAGGGAAGATTTTATTATTTAACAATAGTGTGAAATTAATTAAACACAAGTAAAATACTTGTAATTACATAAGTATAAATTACTTATAGGCTGGTTCACAGGTTTGAAGTCTGTCAGTTTCCCAAATCAGAACTAGAATCATATAAATGAATCTCATGTAGCATTTAAAATGTGAGCATTATTTATCACCTCTGTTAAAGAAATCTATTTCAAGTTTCCCCTAAAGTAAAACTTCAGTTGTTAAATGAGTCAAATCCGACTGATCGTCTGCAAACACAGAAACAAAGAAAGTGAACTCTAAAGTCGCTGCTTCTACATCCTCCTCTGACACTGTGGACCACCGGGTCCTTCTACCTCAGCTCTACATGAAACTGGATTAGAGGCACAGTTCTGACCTGGTTTGAATCAGACCTGACAAACACAAGTTGTTTTGTACAGGTGGGAGCATCGCTCACTTGTGGAGTACCTCAAGGGTCCATTCTGGGCCCACTCCTCTTTTCATTGTACGTGTTGCCCCTAACTTCTATCTTTAGAAAAGATCGGCTTTCTTTGCCGTGACATCCAGGTGTTTATGCCCATTCAGCTGAACTTGTTTTAGTGACTTTAAGTCCTGGATGAGGATAAACTTCCTACATTTTAATGAAAGAAGGACCGATTTCATACGCTTTGGTAAATATGACTCTTGTGAGTCTTTTGGCTCGTTCCAGTCATGTTGCTGTAAAAAATCTGGGCGTGACTTTTAACAGGTTTCTTAAAATGGACCAACAAATAACAGTCATCACGACAGTTTGTTTTTATCAACTCAGAGTCACTGAAGAAGTAAAGCTTCACCTCTTACAGAAGGAACTGAAAATAAAGTTCTTCATGCTTCTAGCACTTGCCGCCTGGGCTACTTTAACTTTGGTGTTGAACAGTTATCTTTATCTTTAGTCCAGAATGTGGCAGCTCGCCTCTTAACAGGCGTTAGAAAGCATGCACACATCACCGCGGTCTGAGGTCATCTAACCAGATGCTCTTAAGTAATCCTGAAACCAGATTAAAACAGAGGTGATCGAGCTCCTGCATCTACAGCACCAGAGCTACAGAATCAATACCACGCCACAGCTGCACAGCTGCACAGCTCAGACACTGCACACATGTAAATCTTTATTAAAACATTTATCCTCTCGCTGTGACATCATCATAGACGGTTGCATTTTGTCCAAATTTAATTTTTAATTGTTTTTTTCTACTTTTTTATGTTAATGTTAAGTATTGTGTTACATTTTTCTGATTTTTTTGTGTGCAGACTTTTTAGATCTACATCATTTCAGTGTACAGCAACTTTGTTGTTTTAAATGTGCTACATATATAAATTTGACCTTGAGTACATCAAAATCACCTTTTTGCTGTCAGGCGTCATCGAATGGTTTCAAGCGTCAGACCTGCAAGACTCAAGGATGCAACAACGTGCATTAATGGAGGTGGAAACAGTGACATCGCACCGCTGTGAGGCTTAGTTTAACACCCAGACTGATAATATGCAGTACAGCCATTAAAACTATGTGCAAGACTTATGATATAAATAACGATTACAGCAAACTAGCATAAGATATAAATAACTGGTGTCGTCTAGTTGAGGAGCTCAGGTCTTAGCATGATTACGACCTCACAGACTGTTTCCTCTCGCGCTGCCTCCTCTGGCTCTTTCCTTTATCTTGAGTCTGACATATGTGTTTTATGTGTTTGAGTCACATACAAATGATGTAATGGCACCTTAACAGCAGGTATAAATACAACTGACTGTGAGTCTGCATCTGCAGGCAAAGAGACTGATGCAGTGGGCATACTGGGACCATAAGTGTCTCTTTTGTCCCAGCTCCCTGCCCTCAACCCTCACTGGTTGCAGACTGGTCCTGCTGGAGGTTCCTTCCTGTGCTCACAGGGGGTCATTTAATTGTTGGAATTGTCTCTATTATTGTCTTTACTCTCCAATATAAAGTGCCTTGAGCACATTGTTGTTGTGATTTGGTGCCAGATAATTACAACTGAACTGAATTGAACTGAGTGACGAGCAGTCTTAATTTGATAACGAGCGTGTGTCGAGAGCAGGGTTATTATCCTTACTACAACTGAAACTAAAGAAAAAACTCAAACTAGATACAAGCATGCCCGAAAGACTAAAACTAGCACCGAGACTTCTTTCTTTTCTTTTTTTAGATAAAAACTGAACTGAAAATCGACTCAGGAAACCAACTGAGACCAAATTCAACTCAAAACCAAAAGTCAAAATGAAAAATGTAATAACACTGATTGTGAATCAAGCTAGTAAAAAAAACTCTCCCTTCTTAATCCTGCAATTTAAAAAATCAATCATGTGAATAAGTTTCAACAAATGCGTTCAAAGAAAACAAGACTTGAAGTTAAAATCTTAAACCCCACTATTAGAGACATGCCACCTTCTCTGTTACACTGAGTCACTGACAGCTGTGTTACAGAGACAGAATGTAACTCATCATCATCTGTGTGTCCAGGGTTGTTCGTTTGTTTTGTAAAACTATCAGTTTGGGCACTTAAGCACAGACAGAGACGTGTCCTCAGGACTCAGTGTTGCGGTTTTATTTGACGAGATGAAATCGTGCCGCGGACTCGAGTCTCAGCACCGCTGAGCTATTCTTCCTCTCTGTGTGTTTGTGGATGCTCTTCCTCCTTTCTGCGGTGTGCAGCCTCGCAGCGTGATGATGCCACCACCAAGCCCAGCTTTGCCTGGTATTAACGAGCAGTGAGCAGGCCCTGATGCTCGGAGCTCTGCCAAAAACAGCCCAGCTCATCAAAACAATGAACAGTTTCCCTCTTGCTCTCAGACTGTGAAATGGAGTTTGATGAAAGGGCTAAACAAGGTCCTTCACTGTGTACTGCCTAAGTGCAGCAACAATACAGGAATGTCTGTCTGATCTCTGCCACGGCGCTCCTGGACATACCAAAACCTTTAGGACTTTTTCAGGACGTTTCACAGACGCAGCAACTGAAAAGTCATGTTTCACTTACACTTAATCTTCACTAAATAAACCACAAAGTGTTCAAACCATTCCAAACCAGGTTTTAAAGCAAAACAGTAAGTGGACTCGAAAACATTCTGACTCAAATGTACATGAAACCAGCAGCAGTGAATGCTTCCTCATTTTGTGAAACGCCAGGACAGCAGGGTGGAGTAACAAGTAAAAGCCTATGAAAAAATACAGTGTGTCATCAGTAGGTTTGAGAAAATGAGAATAGCTGCTGTGGTACGATATGTTTCAAGTGTTTTATAGCAATACATGTGAAATACTCTGCATAGGACTGAAAGTGTTAACACTACTCATTCATTTCATATTAGGTTAGTCCGTCTTTGATTCGACGGCCCCTGATTTAAGTCGGTATTTTGGGTGTGAATCTTCCCAGTCACACACTAAACAGCACCATATTTAAGGTGTTAATGATGCTAATATTAAGACAATGAACAATATTTAAAGTTGTAACCACAAACAATCCCTTTAGTTCCTAAATCACTGTGTACTGAGAGTTTTTGCAGTGTAATGATAAACTCTGCAGCGTCGTTTAGGATCAACACCTGTGTAATTGAAACACTTGTAAAGGAGACATTAAACACTAAATGCAGAGGCTAATTGACACAATGGAGCCCTGCTCTCACAGCCTGATGCAGGTATAACACTGTTTGTTAGCTGGATTTAACAAATAACAGCTTAAAGTTTGTTTTAGAAACATGTGGAGCTCCGTCTTCACTGGGATGATTTGTTATAACCACATATATGCTGTTCACGTTCACTCTGTGTCTCTTTAGCAGTGATTCGCTCGTCGTTGTTCGGCTGGCTGCACTGACAGGAGGAAATCCACCTGTTAGCTGCAATGTTTGGTTGAATAAATGAGAACAGATCGGAGCCTGTTTGACTCAGGTGACAGGTGGATGACCGCTGCATCCGGCCTATCATGGAGAAACCCGAGTGTCAGACTGCAGCTTGTTGGTCTGGTGACTCAGACAGCATCTTCTCCTCCACACTGTCATTTATAAACCTGAACATTACGGCTAACAGC